CATATTTGTGGTGAGGAGTCTGTGGTATTCCACTTAGCTAAAGTCATGTAATAACATTTTTCTTTTATGTTCAATGTTCTAAGCAGGGACTTAGCATGAATTTTTATTTTTAAGAGAGATTTTTGCTATAGGGCAAATGCACTCGCTGAAGAGACAGAGAAAGACGGAGAGAAAGTAAGAAATCACCTCCCAAGGAGGCTGGCCATGCACAATCCCTTCTCCTCCATTCTCCTCTCAGGATTCTGAGTGCACACGTGCCCGCGCACACACGCACACAGAGTTTCAAGCAACTGGGTCTGGGACTTGAATCGCGGTCAGCCATATGGGAGTCCGGTGCCTCAGCCACCATGCCATGCCACCTGCTGACCCTAGAGTGAATTTTATGTGAACACTCAAGCATTGCCATTTTTGCTTTCAGATGAAAGCATCTACTATTTAACACAATCAAATATGAGCATTCAGATTAAAACTGTATGAAATAAAAATGGCTGGTATTCCTAAAATTACCTAGTTGCATAAGACAACTACTAATAAAAAGAAAAACAAAATAGAATACTAAAATGCCAAACAGCATACCAGCAGTCTTTGGCACAATTATTTAATAACTAGGTGAATATACTGAGACATGGTCTAGTTGTGAACAATCATTTTTGAATGACCACAGTCACTATTCACATATCAACTGATTCACAGAGATTATAGCAAAACAGTAGCCCCAAGTGTAATCTCACATGTCACCAGTGGTCAAGAATGGCCCTAAAATGCGCAGAAAATAAGAACGTGACTCACTTGTTTCTTAAACAAAGAGATATCTGTTTAATTACAGTACCTTTGTGACCTAATATTGGTAGAGTATATCCATTTGACTATCACACAATTTTTGAAAAATGGTTCCAAATTTGTTCTTGGTAACGTGGAACAGCATTCACTATTAAAACTGAGAAGTTGTCAGTTCCAACCTAATGCACTCATCAATAATGAAAATTTAAGAAGATGAACTTTTGATGCCCATCAAAGACAAACCACATGGGTATCATATGTACTCCAAATCCTTTCCAGCATCTGCCTGCCTAATGATGTGGGCAACCAGAGAATGGCAGAGATGATTGTGAACCCATCACATAAGGACTGCAGAGAACTCCAGGCCCCCATAAACACCCATCAACCCCTTCTTCATCTCTCCAAGCTCAGGTCTGTATGTCTTACCAAAACATTGGTGGTACTTTGGTGATTTCTTTCTGGCTTTACCAGATGTTGAAGATGGTTCTCTTTAACTTATTACAACTATAACAAAATTTGGGGAGAAGAGATTAAATGATGCTGTTTGCCCCCAGGGACACACTGTTTCTCGGCAGGTATAGTGTTGCTCTCTTCATTGAATAATAAGGCAGGTGCTTAGGAAGACACATTAATGTGTTCAATCAGGGCACAATTCCCACCACAGTACCTTAAATGGTACCCTTGTGAATTGAAAAAGTTAAACATGGGAAGAGAGAAAAGAAGACTGAGCCAAATAAATGCTCATTGAATATATGTTCATCATACTTAAAATATCGACATACTCTTTGGAGAATACTGGCTTTATGAAGGAGGCTATTAACCAGTGGCAGTAGTGCAAAACCAGTTTTCTTTACTCCACAAAAAGAAAAGAAAAAAAATGTTCTACCTTTCTCCCTGAAAATTTTTTCTCCTCTTAAAAATTTCAAGGTGGGGGGGTGGGGGAACCAGCAGGTAGCATGGTGGTTAAGGCACTGGACACTCCCACATGGCCAACCATGGTTTGAGTCCTGGACCTGGCGGCTTGCTTTCTCACTTTCCCTCTCTTTGTATGTATCTCTCTCTGGTCAAGTTAAAACTAAATAAATGAATAAATAAAATTTTAAAAAAATTTCAAGAGGGGGCCAGCAGATGGCATGGAGAGTAACAGTCATACCAATTGTAATGATGAGTCTACATGTACTATAGAACACTTCATTTCAAAGTGGGCCCAAAATAGATTGGCTGTGGGCAAGTTACACAACTGTGGAAGATTCAGATCCACTAAGTAAGGAAGACAAGATTAATACTGTTGGAGATATTGGCTAAAGATATCAGACTCAAAGGGGCATTTATTAATTCTGTTAAATAGCTTTATAGATCTTCAATCTTAATAAATTAGGGTCTATTCTTCCAGGTAATTTTTTTTGTCATTTTTAAAGGCTTATTCGTTGTTGTTTTATTATTTGTGGGAAAGTATTTCAACCAAGCAGTGAGACGTAACATATTATAATGAGATTCCTAGACTACTATAAATTTCTGACCTCAAAGGTCTAAAACATAAAATCAACTTAATTCAATATTTGAAAATGAAGATATTGCCTTCTCTTACAGGCAAAGAGCAAGGGTGAAAGAGAGAAGAGCCATTTACAATGTGAATTCATGCCATCTTAAGTCAGAACAGTGGTTACCTTTTGGCAAGGAGAGGAAATAATATTGACTGGGCAGGGCCACAAAAGAACTTCATAGCGAAATGGAAATGTTCTGTATTTTGATCTGGGTAGTGGTTCCATGGGGGTTAACATAGGCAAAAATTCCCAAACTGCACACTTAAACATTTTACTTTCCATAAACCATACCTCAATTTAAAAAGTAAAAACATCTAATACGAGTAAGACACTGCAACCAGAAGCCAAGGATAAAAATTATGAAATCAGAGTAATTTAGAAAAAGGAATTACCCTTTCTAGGACTGACAATAGAATTGTACACAGGCAGTTAAACAAGTATGTATAATAATGACTTAATAAGACTACCCTAGAAGATTTGAAGATCTCTGAACTAATTAGAATTTCAAATGTGACTATTTTTCTGAATATTTTAAATATAGGTAGTTTCAAGTCTATAAAGTAGCCCCTAAAATGTAAAAACCAAGGCCTAGAAAGCCATGTTCATAAAAACAAAAAAATACACTTGTTTTGGGACCAGCAGTTGGCGTAATAGCTATGTTGCTGAACTCCCATGTAGTTGACCGCAGTTCAAGTCCCGGATTCAGTGGTTTAAATTCACACTGGGCACGTGTGCATGCATGCCCAAAACCCCAAGAAGAGAATAGTGGAGAAGGGATTGTGGTGTGGCTATCCCCTCTGGTGGGTGAGTTCTCACTTTCTGTCTCTCAGTCTCTCTCTGTCTTTCCAGCAACCGCACATGTCCTATAGCAAAAACCTCTCAAAAAAAAAAAACAAAACTTGTCTTAAGTCTGAGTATAGATATAGACATCTCCTTATCTAAAAAAGTCCATTTTCAACACTTAACATCCACTGACAATGTGCCTCTATTTGTGGTCTTCTAGTAAGAAGCAAAAAACAAAACCTAATACTCAGTCAAGGCAAAAAATGCTAAAACCCTGCATGATAGTGTTGTGTGTTCTGAATGGTATTCAATTCTGTTCAGTAATCTGGTAGCTATGGAGACCATAAACAATCAGCAATCTTCAAACATACCACAAAGCACATGGGTGATATTATCAAAAGATCAGGTTTGATGGTCAAGAAAGGCAGCATATCCACTTGGTAGAATTCACCAGACAATGCTAAAAGTCCCTAGCCAAAGAACCCAAAGGCTCCCATACTGAGTTCCAGCTTCTGTTTTCAACTAAACAAAGTCTAGGATTAATTTCCCTTTACTATATAAATATTTCTGTCTATACCTAGTGTCATATTCAAACAAAATTCCATAACTAAAATGGAAGATCTTTGCCACCTAATTATATATTTGTTACTTTTTGAATGATAATAAAGCCAAAGGTACCATTAAGTGAATTCAAGAACTGTTTTTAAATCATTAGGATATAATATCGTCACATGCTGAATGAGACATTACACCTCATTTATTCTACCTTGACCTTGATTTAGGCGGTGTGGTAGTTTCAAAGAAAAGAAGTGTCCACAGTGAAACACCAAAAATAATTGACTCTTTAAAAAAGCCAATTGAGAAGCAAAAAGAACTGAGGATTATTCGTTCTCTTGAAATACTACTATTCTGCAATAATCATCAACTATGGACACTGATCAGCTGAGATAGAAATAAAGGTCAAATTACAGATTCATAAGAAAACAGGTTCCCTAAATTTTTACTCCAACCTCCTTCTCTGCAAAGATAGTGCCTTGCCAACATTTAATGTTCTAGGCTAGCAGGTTGAGTCTCTTTAGAAATTCTTGACTGTCATCTTTGCTTATAAATGATGACAAAATATTCTGCAGAGCCTGTACAACTACATTGATAAGTTGCATTATTCTATGCCCAACATTAAATAATCCTCAAATAGATTGGTTATCATTTTTTTAATTTTAATTTTAGCTGTCCACAACTGCTTCCAGCTAGCCCATTGTGTAGGGCCTGCTCTGCACCAAAGCAATTTTATTGTATAAGTTTAAGATAGATACAAAGCCACAAGAGTGTGATACCACACAGCACATTAAAATTAAAAACACTGCGGGGAAAAAAAAAATCCATCTTCAAAAGCAAAGCTACTTCTTACTCTTTTTAAATCTACCTATAACATTCACTTTTACATTTTTTAAAAAATATGGAGGAAGCCTGTATGATGATACATTTTTCTCTCCTTAGAGGAAATTCTTAAACTCTCCTTTCTTTCTAATAAACACTATCATCTCAGATCCTCCCAGTATCTATTTTAGGCTTAAGCACCATTATGGAACCCACAACAATAGATCAGTGACAGGCCTGATCCCATCAATTAACACGTTCTGAGGAGACTGCCTGGATCCTCTCTTCCTACCTCCCTCTTGGAGGCCTGGTTTTGACCACACTGACAACCCTGGCCTTAAGGATGAATAACCCAGTTAAGGGGAGTCCCTTTCCTCAGACCAATTCTTTTCTAATGAGAGCCAAAATACTAATTTTGTTAATGACCTAAGGCACAGTGATATGAACTCCAAGCCAATGAAACCATGACAGCAAGCAGATTTCTAAATAGCAGAGAAGTGGGATCCATTTACTTACATGAAGATTCGGTGCCAAACATGGCTGGCTCCAGAGGCTGCTTTAAAAAAAATTATAAAAAAGAAAAGGAAAAAAAAAGGCAAGGAGAATGTGCGTGTGAGAGTGAAGAGATGAGCCGGCTACACAGCAGGGGTCATGAAGCCAGACAATGCAGTCCAAGCTGTGTCCAGCTGCCAGATTCTCCTCTTACGAGCTTCAGTTTTCCTCCGTGTGATTGAAAAGCAAGGTCTCCCACAGCACCAAAAACTGAAGAGCTGCTTTTGAAAATCCACTAGGCAAAGGAAGGCCGACGTGGCTCTTCTGGGATGCGGTGAGGCAGGACTAGGTAGCAGCAGGGGCAGGACTGGGAGCAGCAGCAACAGCGGATACTGCAATCTCCAGCCCTGCTGTAGCAGTAAGACAATAGCAGGGCTTATGCATACGCTGGATGACGTCAGGGACACTGCACAGACCGACTGCGCTGCTTGAGCCAGAGGCTCCAGGGGCTTTAGGGGAACAGCACCATTGAAAGGGGAATTCCTTTGTCACAAAATGAACCAGGACCAAGAGCCACATATATATCCCCCCTCCTGACAAGCTCTTCGTCCAGTAAAAGAGACCTCAGAGAAATTTAAATATTGGCTTTACAGCAACTAACCACAATGATATCATGCAGATCAGGCTTCTTGGTTTACGCAGCAAACTGAAGTTTTCAAGAGAATTAATATCATGAATGAGAAAAATAATCTATCTTCAGAAGTCATTACAGAAGAGTTCATTGTTATTTTCTCTTAACAGTAGATTGACAGATCAAAGGTTGTAAACTCAATCACAAATACGTAAAAAGATGCAGATGCCCCTCAACTTACAGCGGGCTAACATCCAGATAAACTCATCGTAAGCTGAAAATACTGCTAAGTCAAAAATTCATTAAATATACCTAACCTACTGAACATCACAGCTTAGCCCAGCCTACTTTAAGCACGATCAGAACACTTATATTATCCCACAGTTGGGCAAAGTCATCTGACACGAGGCTACTTGAATATCTCATGTAATTTATTGAGTACTTTACTAGAAGTGAAAAACAGAATGGTCGTGTGGGTACTCAAAGAACAGTGACTACTGAATATGCATCACTTTTGTCCTACCGTAAAGTAGAAAAATCTTAATTCGAACCACTGTAAATTGGGACCATGTATAAACTGTTGCACAAACATTCTGGGTATATAAATACTCATGAATGTAATAGCAAAATAATAGTGTAAGTGCTCAGAATACCATTTGGCACTCAGTAAGCACTCAAATGTTAGTGACATTATTAGTTTGCAACTATTATTCAAATGTGAATTGCATGTTTACATTATACATGTATACACATATATTTTTATATTTACAAATGTAAATTATATATTTATATACATATATTTTTTCTAGCCTATTTATTTTGCTTTATTTTCTTCATTTTGGCTTATGAGAACTTCTGCCATTTTTCAGAGAAACTTGATCATTTAAAGACTATCTCCACTCAGGGTCAGAACATGGTGTGGTGGTTAAGGCATCAGACTCCCACATAGCTGACTGCACTTTAAGTCCTGGACCTCGCAGTTTGAAAATGACTCAGGGTACAAGCACATGCATGCCCAGAATCCCAAGAGAAAAATGGAGGAAAAGGGTCTGCTGTGTAGCCATCTCCCTGGGGGGTGATTTATCACTGTTCACTATGTCTCTTTCCAGCAAGCACACACTCCCTATGGCAAAAATCTAAAAAAAAATTTGTTTATGTGCACTAATCTATGTACACTTGTATACACTGGACATTTGTGACCAACATATTTCTTTTGAATCTATCTACACAAGAAAACTATTGAGGACATTAATTATTTTGTATCTTGGCTCACTGAACAACTAAAAGTCTTCCTTCATTACCTTATTCTTAGAAATGTCTTTTAAAAATACTAGAATAAGTATATGGACTTTCATTAGAATACCTATCAAACACAAGCAGAAAAATAAGTTTATTTTAATGTTTTAAAATACTGATGTTGGAGCCAGCAGGTGGCATGGAGGTTATGGCTGTAAGATCCCACATGGCAGATGGCGCTGTTCAAGACCCAGACCGGAAGCTTGAAAATGACACCAGTTACCTGTATCAGCACCCAAAATTCTGAAAAAAAAAAAAAAGGAAGAGAAATGCTTGTGGCATGGACATCCCCCTGGAGGGTGATTTCTCATTTCTCTCTCTCTCTCCAGCGAGAGGACGCACCCTGTAACAAACTAAAACAAACAAAAAACTGATATGCACAAAAAGGAAACATGTGTATATATGTGTATGTAATTCCATAATCCCACTTTTAAATTCATATTCAACAGAAAAGAATTCAAGTCTTCTCTCCACCCACTTATCCAAAGTACATACCCTTTCCAATAATTTCTAATGTTTAGCAAAAATCTTTATCTAGATACAGTTTTTAAACATTAAATTCTAATAAGAATACAAAACTGAAAAATTACTATCTAAAAACATTATTAGTAGCTTTTCTGGCCAGTATATGTAGATCCATCTCATCCTTTTAATGGCTGCAAAATTTTCCATTGTATCAATGTAACATAATTTATTCAAGGTAACTCTATCTTTAGTTTACTCAAAATGCTGAGCCATTATAAAGAAAGTATATTAATGCTACAACAAAACAGCAAGTCTTATAATAAGTCTTTTGTTGCAGGAAAGAATAACGATAGTTAATATTAATGAGTGTTTACTATGTTCCTGCAGTATTCTAGGAACTTCATTTGTATTAACTTATTTAATCCTCATAACAACCCTATGAGGTAGGTAGCACTATTATCCACATTTGACACATGGTTAAGTAACTCCCAAAGGGCACACAGGTGGTAAATGATAATGCTAGGATTCAAATTGAGGCAGTGTAGTTCTAAAGCAGTGCTCTTAACCACGCTGCCAAAATGTCTCTTAAAAACAATTGTCAACATGATAGGCAAAGGATTCAACTGAAGTGAAGGGAAAATAGAAATCAACTAAAAAGAAAGAAGAAAGAAAGAGAGAGAAAGAGAGGAAAGAAAAAAAGAAAGTCAACTAAAAATGTAGAAGAAAAACATCCTTAGAGAGGTCATAAGAAAAAACTAAAAGTGACAGAAAAACACTACCAAATATTAAAGATATTAATAAAATGTATCTCCTCAAAAATATTTGGTCAAGTCAACAACCAAGGGGGAATATCAATAATGATGTTGGGATATAACTGTAGGAACTGGGAAAGGATAATATATTTCAAAAGGGTTGACCTTTATCAGTAAAACATTATCTTGCATATGATGTATTCTAAATTGCATATGAGATATTGTATTTGAATATTCACTCAAATGGCAGAAAGATGTGGCCATCAGAAAGGCAAGAGAGATAGAATGAGAAAATGGCTCCTGGGTAAGATATTTTCAAACAAAGGCCATGTTCTATGTGTAGTAACTGGTTTGCTGACTCATTAATGTCATTCGTTTTATCAGCTCTTACATGAGGGTGTAGATACTTATATGAAAAGGCATTTTTCAGAGAACTTGAATTGTTTCCTGGCACAGACTTCTGCGAGTAAGTTAAAGGCTGCAATATTTTCAAGAAGTCTACTTTTTAGACAACTGCAGTCTACTTTTTAGACTGGTCTGCTAAGAGATTAGGTTTGCCAGCAAAACTGGATACAAATCACTCTCTCCATACTTGTGAAGATTTCTATAGTCTGGAGGCTTGAGATGTTTCTAAACACATTAGATTTGGATACACGTGGCTGAAGACTCATCTTGGACAAAAATTATTCTAAAAGTTTAGTGCACTTCAATTCTCTCCTCTATTCAGCTCAAAGAATGTACACAAATATTAATGTATGGCCCAAGGAAAATGTATTGAAGGACAATAAAGAATAAAACTGATATGATGTCCCTCACTGCCCCTCCCCATCATATAATACATTCCCAAACCAGAGTCATCTTTGGATTATCTATTGTCTGATCATTCCTGCCTGTGACTATGCCTATTCTTTAGTAAAGACGATACTGATCATTTCAGGATAAAATTAGCAATGAAAGAAAATAATATTCAAAATAATTTACTGGTAAAAATAATTATTATTAAATTACACTGCTACTGCTAAAGCAAAGTAATAGTGAACATTATAATATCAATAGTCTTTTTCTGTTCTGATAGGATCTTGCTATGTTGCCTAGACTGACCCAGCATTTGGGATCCTCTGCCTCAGCCTTCTGAGTAGCTGGGACTACAGGTGTAAGCCACCACACAAAACTCAATAGTCTTTTTTTTTTTTTTCTGAGAGGTTTTTTGTTGTTTTGTTATAGGGTTCGTGTGCTCGCCAAAGAGACAGAGAGACAGAAAGCAAGAAATCACCCTCCCCGGGGGGGATGGCCACACCACAATCCCTTGTCCTCCATTCTCCTCTTGGGATCTTGAGGACACATGCACACACGCCCAGAGTGAGTTTAGCCACTGGGTCCAGGATTTGAACCATAGTCGACTACATGGGAGTCCAGCGACATAGCCATTATGCCAAGTGCTCGTCCTGCTCAATAGTCTTTTTTAAATAAAATCTTCTTGCAGTCATGCAACTTTTCCCCAGGAGCCTACTATCTCCTCTCTAGAGGTATAGCCAATGAACAAATTCCCTTTCCCATAGAGCTTATATCCTAGTGGGTAGAAAAGACAGACAAACATGTAAAATGTCAAGTAGTGGCACATATTATGAAAAAAAATAAAGATGAGTTTGAGGATAAGGAGTAATTGAGTAGGAGAGTTATTTTAGGTAAAAATTGCCACATAATGTCACTTTAAAAAGCAACATTTCAACAGAGACCAAAAAAGAGGGGGGAGGAATAAAAATGCATGGAAAACACATAGAAGGGACAGTGTTCCATGCAATTGGCTTGAACAGAAGCATTTGGGAACCCCTTAAATATTTTTTGCCAAGAAATCTATTTTTCTGTCATAAAATATCAGTTTTCTCTTGGAAGACATCTCCTTCAGTGCTATCACAATGCCACTAGTACAAAAGCAGTGGTGCCCAATTGTGCTAATAGCAGAATTAATTATCTTTTAGAATCCAAAAGAATTCTCTCCTCCATGAGCTGAAAGGTTCTCTTCAATGTTCAACAAACTAAATATACTTGTATTTTCGAATGTGTAAATGTTTATAGAAATCACTATAGAAGACCACATTCAAAATAGCTTCTTTGCTCAGATAGATAATGCAACTATTGTATTTATTAATGTGGTAAGAACTTAAGTAATATATTCTTTTCATTTTTTG